TCAATGAATTATTTTGACTAAACATTGAATGGATAGGAATTAGCAGTGAATCCAATGACAGTGTGTTATCATTGATGCTATCATTGATGTGTTAAGTGAAATGCTTGAGTTTGGAGGTCCGTCAGCACCGGCACCACCTAATAACGCGTCCTCAATGTTATCGATGATTAACATGAATAATGTGATGCACGAGGCGGCCAACCGACAGAACCCCTTCCACCTGTTGGGGTCGTCCACCGGCCCCCTCTCGGCACTGCACTCCATGGCTGACCTCAAAGTCAACACCGGAGTGTCGCCCTCATCCATCTCATCCATGCCCGTCAACTCCCATTACCGCGGCTCTCCTCCGGCCGTCAAGCAGTCCATTCCCACCACCACTTCCTCATCGTCTCCTTCAGCCATCAGTTCATCGTCCACATCATCGGCTGCTTCGGGAACTTCTCATTACATACACGACATCCTGAGTCGTCCGTCGGCGGTCCCCTTCTCGACCACTCAGACTCAGTTGAATACAGCGTTGGCGGGGGCTCTGCCCCGGTTCAGTCTGAGCGCCGCTGCCGTGGCCGCGCAGGGCATGTACTTCAACCCAACCAACGGATTGAGCCATAAGTTGGCCACAATTGGGGACCTGTCGGGCCGGCACCTGTACTGGCCCAGTATGGTTCAGAATCAGGCGCTTTGGAGGGAACGGTTAGCCGGTGCAGGTATGACAGTGTGATTAGTGTGCGATCAATGAATTGTATGACTGATTGGATGTCTGGTATGTATAGTGAGTCAGCAGTGTTTAGACAAAGACGGCAAGAAGAAGCACACGAGACCCACCTTTTCTGGACATCAGATCTATGTCCTCGAGAAGACCTTCGAGCAAACAAAGTATTTGGCCGGACCTGAGAGGGCCAAACTCGCCTATGCCTTAGGAATGTCCGAAAGTCAAGTCAAGGTATGTCTCAACCCATTCCTTACATACATTTCCACTCATATGAATACTGGCGTGCCTTCGACCACTAATTTAAGCCTTACATAAAAGTGCCATAAATTTCATATAATGTACATAAGATGTATTAATTCAACACATAATGACTGATATTATAATTTAAAAGCCATTCAGAGAAATGTTTGTTTTAAAGGCAGAGATCGCCCACACATTGCATATATTGATAACTTGTTGAGAAGTTTTCTCTATTTTATGGTTTATATCTTGCCTTCAATTTTATTAGTTTTATCGCTCTTATTATGTACTCGAATGACATTAAATGCGAAACAAAATGTTTTCTGATTACTCTATACAATAATAGTTAAAGTGTTTTATATTATAATAGTAAACATATTAGTATTATAACATTATATCAATTTTTGGCTTTTATTATCGTTATATAACTTAATTTCAAAGAAAGTGTATTTCAAATAAAGTTTTATAGATTGTTTCGATACAAATGACTGCTATATTCTTGTCAAACAAACCAAAACTCCATTTTTATTAATTATAGCTTAAATTAATTTTTATATTAATATTGCTTTAAACCTCATTATAGTCTTAATACTTTTATCCATTTTATTGAACTTTATGATAAACATTATATAAAAACTAAAAATAAATATAACTAATGATGGCTTTATAAATATTTGCTAAATTGATTTGACATAGCTACCATATGATATTACTGAGCTGAACTCAAAATGAAACTCTATTATGTCAATCATTTAATATTAAATTAATATAATATAATCATGTAATTCTTTAATTTATAAAGTAAAACATTTAAAAACAATATTTAATATTAAATTTAGTTGTTGTAAACTTTAAATATAAAATTATTTATGATTTTGTCGTACTTTTCATAAATTTCATCTTACGATTAGAAAAATTGATTGTATTTTAATTGAGTGAATGATTGTGTGATTTATAGGTTTGGTTTCAAAATAGACGAACCAAATGGAGAAAGAGGTGAGAGAATTGAGTTTAGAGTTGAGATGATATGATGTTAAAGCGAATGCAAATCCCATCCCAACTACTGATAGACACGCGGCAGAGATGGCGACGGCTAAGAAGAAGCATCAAAACAATTTAGACCTCTCGGGTCAGGAGGACATGTCCTCTGATGAAGAGGCAGAAGAGATGTCCGACAAGAGGCTTAAGAAAGAGCACCCATTTTTGACACATGCGATGACATTACCTCCGAGTTAGGGGTGCTTTTTGTTAAGACACTCGTGCGAAGTGCAGTTAAATGTATTTTTTCTCATAAAATGGTGTTTTTCAAAAAATTAGTGCAATAAACGAGTTGTTTTGATCTTTTCCAACAACTTTTGAACATTTGATTTGATTTAAACAGACATTTGAACGCAAATTCTCTCTTCTTTTGTGACAAATATATTATAATTTCTGGATTTAAATGCAAACAATTTTGTGACAAAAATCTTTAAATATGATTCATAATTTAATACTAAATGTAAAATATAAGGTAAAGACTAATAATTAGATAATATCCTTAATTATAATATAATTTATAGATATGAGTGGTACTAATGATTCCGAGTCTAAAACTTAATGTATTTTCAATCATATTTATAGTATGATTAACTGATTATTGATTTTTGCATCACTTAAATGTACAGTTCATTACATTATTAATATTAAATTAAACATTATTTACAAAATTAGTATTTAATAAAACAACAGAATTAGTGAAAACAACAATTGTTTTGTTTTGAATCAATACATTTGCAAAATATCATTAGTTTTTAGACAATTTTTGAATATTAGACTCATGTTTGAGAGAAATGCAATCAATTAAGTCGATCATATGTTACATAAATCATTGTATATTATATAACATAACAATATATTGTATTTAATCGACAATAAAATAAAAATAATTCAGTCATTAAACAAACATTGATTTGATTTTATTGTTTCTTATTAACTCAAAATATGTCTTAAATGTTCAAGGCATTCAACTCTGGAATAAATACTTGCAATAAATCTATTCATTAGAATCTTATAAACTGTAAATTAATACTAAAAACTGTATAACATTTTAGTAAATAACTTTGAATCAAGAGAACTTTATTATTAATAAAGTAAATTATATATAGTAGTTTTTATATATCGTAAAACAATCTATAAATTTTAAAGTGAATTTCAAAAAGTTTTTGTCTGAACACCAGATATGATGTCTATTCAATGTCTTATATAATAGCTGAAAGAATGTGTATTTATTTATTGCTTACTTTTCATCTATCCTTAGATTTCTCTGGAGTGCCCTTAAAGTTAAGCTTTTATTATAAAAATTTCAATTTTATATCTCATAACTGCTCTATAGTATCATATTCTCAGTGTTGGATCATTCAAACTTTGATTACTCTAATATTGAACTCACTTTTTCTCTTAACGTTTAGCTCTTAAATATATTGATAATATCCGACAAAATAACTGTAATTTATCAATAGATCGTTATATTAATACAAATTTAACAAATTCATCGTTTTTCCAAACATTAAATCATTATTGAATTCATATTTTCTAAAATAGAAATTACTATTTATTCATTTATTCAATATAATTCTATCTCTTAATAAATTATCAATTTTATGAAATAATTTATATTAAGTGTTGAGTAATCTCTCATAAGTCAGGGATTTGATTGATTAGTTTATTTTCAATCTTATGATATTACTACAGTTTTAAAACAGTTTTAAATCAAAATGTCATAAGTCTTTAATTATTCCTTTTTAAATAAACAAAAAATTATTTAATCAAATAAATTAAAATATGACTACAACATCAAAATAATGTTAAAATTTATGCAAAAACTATTAAAATTATAAATGTAATAAATTTTATGTTATTAACGCTATTATGACACTCTCACTAACAAGATAATTTTTCAAATTAAACATTACGTTATTAAATATCAAGCAAGTAGATATACCAATATTTAATGATTTAATAAATTTTGTCATAGTAAATTTTGTCTTAAGTGCCAATTATTAAAAAATATAATTTTATATCATGTCCTACGCCTATATTATTGGTTTCAAACATATACTGTATTTTCATTTAATGGAAATATCAATGAATCTTAATTATAGGATCTGATTGCAAATGATTTGTTAAAAAATAAAGCAACACATGTCAGTGTTTTTGCCTTTTGTTATCATTTAATAAAGCGTTTACTGACACGTGTGTTGTATATCCAGAATTAATAAGCCGTAAGATTTTTATCAAAAAAATCTATTCATAGCCGCGACTCATGAGGATTTGGGAGCGTTTGTCCTCCAATCCAATCAATGGTATAAATGACAGGTATTTAATCCCTATTTTCATTGCATTTCTATGACTCCCTTTTGACAAATGAGACCCAATTCATGATTATAGGAATTATATGCGTGTGAATGGGGGATGACATTGAACTCAACCACCCATCAAATGCTGCTTCACATACAGAATACTGTATTATATTGAGAGCATATTCTCTATGAAAAGTCTATATTGAGATGATTTTTTATAACAGTTTTAACTCATCATTACTTTCATAGAAACTCGTCATTTACACTATATTAGTATAATTTCATTTACTACAGAATCTGTAGACAAATTTAAATGCTAAATAAAGTATTATTAGTAGACTTACAGGTCATTCAACAGAAAACACTAAAATATTTGTTAATTAATTCTGGAAATATAGTATATCTTTCATATATATCCCCTTAAATAAATAATAATTAAATATCTCAATCGAAGTATCTAAAGATTTTAGTAAAATGTCAAATTTATTTTTGAAAATCACAATAAATGACTAAAATAATTCATATTTATCACATAACGCAGACTTACTGTTATAAACAATTTATAGGCATAAAATAAATAACATATGCCTGAAATAACTTACAAGTTAGTGTAATATAGTTAAATTATAAATTCAATTTAACATTTAATCTATTTCTTTTGAGATTAATTAAATTAATATTTATGTAGCATTTAAAAAGGATATTTAAATATTGTAACTGTGAATGTCCACATTAATTTATATAGGTTAACTATTAACATTTAGGTAGGTAACCTATTACATTTCAATTAAATTAAGAACCTCGATTATTATGATATACAATCAAATGTATAATACTAACTTACAAATTATTTAAAATTATAAATAATTCTTTAAAAATCTCTATCTTTAACTTTTACTGCCATCTAATGCCCGCAAAATAAGATTTAAAACTAATTTACTTGTTAGCTCAAAGTTTGACCCAGTCTACTTTAAAATTAAATTCATTTTAATTTCAACTATATTCAAAAATTATTTTTAGCTTTTAAAATCATATAGATCTATCTTAGTTTTTAGCTATGTTTAAAATTTATATTTTAACACATTTCAGATAATATTTAATTTATTATTATTGTTACATTACAGATTTATATTATGAGGTTGATTTAGTTTTATTGTATATGCCTGTATACACTCACTGTAAAATATTATATTAATTAACTATTTTGTATTCATTTACAATATCAAGGATATCAAATTTATTTAATTTATATTTAAAATATTTTATTGGTTTAGAAAAAATATTTATTATCCGACAGTAATAAAATAACTTAAAAAATGCAGTAAAATTGAAAATAAAAGTGAACAGGTCTTAATTATCATTCTTGTATAAATACAGCTTAAATAATTAGTATTATTATTGCTAAAAGTTTAAAAGCTCATTTATAGTGACAATTAATTTATAAATAAATTCATAACCAAAATAAAGCTAAAAAGCAAATGAAGCAAATTTTAATTAAATCTAATTATTTGAGAATAAATTGAAAAATAAATTACTCTCTGTTTCAATGCTCTAATTTTGGTGTTGGGATTCATTACATATAATAATAATATACATTTATCTAAACGTTGAAAGCTTTTTGTAATTTAATTAAAAACAATTAATATGTGCTCTAAATATACTCGTTTATCTTTAATGCCAGGAATACACAAAACAATTGAAGCTTTTTTCAAGTTTTTTGTTGTTTAACTCATTTGAATGAAACTTGTATTTAAATGAATAATATGCAGTACTTTAAAAAGCGAGTGAAACCCCAATTAAGCGAAAATAAAAATTCTCTCATTTATTAAGCACTAGTCTTAAGCACAATTCAATGGCTTTTCTTTTTCGACTCATTTGGAAAGCCATGAAATTATGTGAAATGATTTGTTATGTAAAGTTTGGGCTCTTTTTTGTATAGAAATTTAAAAATAGTTTAATTAACTGAATAATTGTTTCCTGTTTTGCCATTTGCTTCTGCTTTCCATCCAATGCTTAAATTATAACAAATCTTATTTTCATTCAAAATACGGCCGAAGACTGGCTTATTATTTGAAAACTTTTATTTAAAGCATCAGAACTGCAAAGTAATCAAAAGTTTGCTCAACAAAAAATTGTCTAATATTTTAATCGATTACTCAGTCATTGATTGTTGTCTTTTGTGTGAAGAGTGTTGAATCGGAGCTCAATATAAGACCTCAATATCGATATAAGCGATTGTAAGGACTTTTGACCAGTTCTTGAATTAGGACACAATGGTGTTAACGGTATTACTGAACACTTTGTCCCGTTTCTCAACGCTATGCCTCATATTAGCCATTGGTATGTCATTTGTTTTATGTACATTATTTAATTCATTTATTTTGTATTAATATTTCATTCATTCATTCTTTAAATCTCAATTAAACTTTCATAATAAGTATCATATTTTAAAAATTAATTGATGTTTGAAAATTTCAATTGTACATCTACGAATAAAATATTTATTATAGTTGTACCTAAAATTGATTTGATATCAAGTTCTAATCAATAATTTTTTCATTTGGCTTTTTAAATCAAATCTGGAGCTATATTTAAATATTAAATTATATTTACTTTAATAAAATTAATATTAATATTAAATTTCTTAAATATTCAAAAAGTATAAGTGATTACATCTATTATGAATAAAAACTTAAGCTTAATATGAAAATTGGGTCACAATTGCAATGCAAACACAATTCAAAATAATTCCCAAAAAAAACTTTAATTAAAGTTCTATTTTAAAAATAATTCAAGTTTTTTTACTTTAGAAGGACTTATACAACAAATTGTAGCATAACTTTTGCAAACTTGCTATTTCTTTATTATATTCTAATTTTCCAATAATATTAATCCCTTTTAATAATATTTAAACTATTTTTATTTTTACATTCATTGAGAAAACAAATGAAATAATGAAACAAATGTTAACAATAAGTAAATTCTGTAATATAAATATTTTAAGCCATAAGGAGTCAGAGGTTGTCAACAAACAGCTCATCCAACCCATCGTCAACTAATGTCTTAGATTTCTCGCAAAGTCTGATCGCAAACATACAGTCCAATGGATTGCGTGGATATGTATTGTTTGTGGAGAACAACGGAATCACTTCAATTCGGGCCAACATTTTGGGTCCAAATGACAAACAATCATATGATTGGAAGATCTTTGGCAGTACTGGTGGTATGTCTGGCGATAATTCGTGTCCACCGATGAGCTCCTCGTCCATGAGTTTAGATTTGACGGCTTTGTTGGGAAACTTAGAGATCGGTCGCGAAAATATATTTTCAGCAAAATTCAAGTCAATTACCGGTGAAAACACTTTAATAGGAAGAACTCTAGTGTTGAGGAATGTTAAGAACGGATCCATTTCTTGTGCGATTATATTGCCGTTTGGCTCGAAGAAGACATTTGAAGCGAAATTTTATTCACCGATTGAAGGCTCGGTTTATTTGATTCAATGCAATAACATCACTGGTTTGATATCCAGTCTCTCCTATTCGTCTCACATAAGAAAGTCTTCGGCAAATAAATGGACACTAATGGTGGGCCTCAACACCGATGCCACTGAGAAAGCTCGGGTGGACCACCAGAATAACAAATGCAACTCATTTCTTGGTCGTCCCTTCTTTAATGATATGGTTTGTGGCAATCATTAGTTTTTTTATTTTTATTCTAATTAAAGAGATTTAATTGATTAATTTGTAATTAAATACATGCACCACACCTATAGGGCACTCCGGGTACTATCAACATTGGATCCGATCCTTATTCAAGTGATGGCAAAACATTTAAAAGCATTGAAAATCTTTTATCACTAGATTTGGTACCGATTATATATTTAATCATTTATTCCGATGAAAATTCTGGAAATATATTGAGTTGTGCGCCCATCCAAAGAGTGCACACTCGGGTGGCTTCGGCTAAATTCAATTACCCTATGCTTAAGGGTTCGGTAGAACTGAGTCAAGAGACACCTCTCGACCCAACTATCGTTGACATCAATATAGAGCTCTTCAGAACTGCTTATAGCTATGGAATCGACGAATTGCCTAAAATTATCAGAAGTAAAGAGATGTCCAGCAAAGACTGTCCCAACATTAACAGCATTATATTCAATCCGCGTAACATTGACCCCGACTCAGTCCCGGCTGAAGGACAGGGAACTACTGACCAGTACGCTGTGGGAGACCTTAGTGGCAAATATGGCAATTTGGCCGAAAAGAGCTCAGAAGTGGTCACTCTTACGGACTTCAATTTGCCTCTCTTTGGTCGCGACTCCGTTATCGGGAGAGCACTGGTATTCTACAGTCCAGAGGGCACGACAATTGGCTGTTCCAACATTGAACTCAAAGATGTGAATATGACCACAGCTTTCGGTACTTTCGATCACCCAATTCAGGGACAGTTCATATTCCGTCAGCCGGCAGACAATTGCAGTGCAGATACTTATGTCTACATTGAAATCTCCAAACCCGGAGACGATAGCGCAGCCAAAACATTCAACCACTCCTGGGTTATACACACCAACCAAATTAGTCCGGGTGCTTGATCATTAATTTTATAAATAACTTTTCATTGTTTTAATAATATAAAAAATTAATGACTCTCTCATGTTTGACTCAAAGGTAATATGAATTGGAGTACAACTGAATGTAAATCTGCGGGCGATTCCTATAATCCATACAACATATCCAAGAATTGTGTTTATGAACGCGATTGCAGTCAATCGACTCCATTCCGGTGCCAATTAGGAGATATGTCATCAAAGTTGGGATCCATTGACATCCCTCCCTATAAAGTGACAGATGAAGGCGAACTCGATATCGGAAAGTATTTCTTTACGTCACAACTTACGCCACTTTGTGGTCACAACAGTATCATTAACCGCTCGATCGTTGTCTACAATCCAGAGATGTCTTCTTCACCGCTCAGTTGTGCCAATATTATTGAATATAAGCCGAGACTAAGATCCAGAACATAATATCATTGCGTTCATGCTATTATTGTCATTGCATTCATTCAATTGTTTTATAAATTTTATAATAAGTTACACTGTAGTAAGGTTTTACAGTATTTGTATGAGTTTATTTTATAATTATTTTGATTTCGCTTATAATAAATAAATTTTATTATATCTTTTTGATTAGTGTATTTTAAAATACATCATTAGACTTTTATTTTATAAATTAACATTGAACTGATCTATTACATTTTATAGATGTCAAATGATGTTAAAATGATAATTAAATGATTGGATTTTCATGTTTGTACAAAGTAGGAAACTTTTAATTTATTCTTTACAGCAATTGCTTTCATATTTAAAATATCTATTTTGTCGATCTTTTGTAAAAATTAATAGATCTTTCATTTAGACTTTATATTCATTTATGTGACAGCATTTCAATTTGTTACACAATTATAAGTCTAATAAGAATTTATCAGTATTTGAATTAACATTTTAGTTAAGGACACACAGGCATACGTACAGTATTTTAACCCAGAATTTATTAAAGTGAAAATGAATTATATAATTAAATATTTGGTACAAAAAGTCAGATTATCTCTAATAGACTATAAAATACATTGAATGACACATTTTAGACCATTTGCTCTTAAGACAAGTGACTGAAATCTTAAGCTAAAAATGCCGATTACTGTAAGCGATTCAGTGGTGAAAGAAAATGCTAACAAGTATTTAGATTTGTGGAAAAAGTTGTGGTCAGTTCGGGACACGGCCTGGCATTTGGAGAACAGACATCCGTATAATCTATTTAACATTTTATACAAAAACTTTATTATTCCTAAAATAGTTGATTACTTTTTAGAGTTTTGGTTAAATACAGCGATTTGCTGATTGGAAGCGAAAACAATTGCGATAAAAAGCGTCTTCTGTTTCCACTCTGTGGTAAAAATTTGGATATGAAATGGTCTGTCATTTGTTTCTTTAAATATTTATATTTATATTTTTATTTAAATAAAAATAAAATGCTATATTTGATTAATGTTGTAAAACAAAAGAGTGCTATTTATGCAAATTAGCCAACGATTTAGAAATTGAGTTCAAAAATACTTGTTTTTTACTGACAAAAATCATTTGGAAAGTAAATTTCAACAATTATTAAGAATTAATGTTTTATTGAGAATAAAAGTTTTATTTGTATAGAGAATTAATTGATATTCCGATGAATTTATTTGATAACAAAATTTTGCTAACAACAGGTTCTGGGAAGAGGGCCATGAGGTGATTGGGGTCGAGTGCGCCGATGAGGCCATTCACGACTTCTTTACTCACAATCATATATCTTTCAAAAGCTCTGATTTCATCGAAGGAAGTATTTTTGAGGTAAGCATTTGAAAATTATTCAATAATTCAGAGTTTAATAAAACATACATTTATTTCAGACAAACGATAATAAATTGAAGATCATTCAGACTAACTTCCTTACACTTGACAGGTATTAGGCGTTAATAGTTTTAAAATATACTGTCATTGATATGAAATAATTGAATATAAGTAGCAATGAGTTGAATAAGTCGATAGAAGCCGTTTGGGACAGAGGCAGCTTCGGGACCATCACTTACGATGAACAACTTCTCTACGCCAATACCATGAGACGACTTTTGGCACCAAATTTCCGTTACTTACTTTTGGTGCTCGAGTTTGACGACAATATATTCAAAGGTCCGCCGTTTAGTGTCACTGAACAACGCGTTCGTGATTTATACGGTCAGTGAGTAAGAGGGCCATGAGGTGATTGGGGTCGAGTGCGCCGATGAGGCCATTCACGACTTCTTTACTCACAATCATATATCTTTCAAAAGCTCTGATTTCATCGAAGGAAGTATTTTTGAGGTAAGCATTTGGAAATTATTCAATAATTAAGAGTTTTAAAAAACATACATTTATTTCAGACAAACGATAATAAATTGAAGATCATTCAGACTAATTTCCTTACACTTGACAGGTATTAGGCGTTAATATAGTTTTCAAATATACTGTCATTGATATGAAATAATTGAATATAAGTAGCAATGAGTTGAATAAGTCGATAGAAGCCGTTTGGGACAGAGGCAGCTTCGGGACCATCACTTACGATGAACAGGTTCTCTACGCCAATACAATGAGACGACTTTTGGCACCAAATTTCCGTTACTTACTTTTGGTGCTCGAGTTTGACGACAATATATTCAAAGGTCCGCCGTTTAGTGTCACTGAACAACGCGTTCGTGATTTATACGGTCAGTGAGAGACATATACCACAATACTGTGCTAATAGTAACAGTGAACTAATATATAGTCCTAATGTGATCAATGATTTTCAGGTGACTTCTGTAACGTTAAACGACTTGAGAGTTCAGTTCCACAACATTTACAACTGTATCAGAAGCACATGAAAGAGCAGATCCCAGTCCTCGAGACCGTCTATCTGTTGACTGACAAGACTTCCCACTAAATCACAATTACTAATTGATTGGATACTGAAAATTGTTTTATTTCTACTAATAATTGATTTTAAAATAATTCTTTAGAATACAAACTATTTGTGGATTATTTCAATGGTTTCAATGGTTTTTGGTTTTTATAAATATTGAATCAATAAAATTATAATATTATACAAAATCACAGATACTTTCAATCGTTTCAATGATTGCAAAATCAAATGTTTGGGAAAACATATAAACAAAGTGTAAAACGAGAGACTAATTCAACTCAATATGAGGTCCAATGTATGGCAAAGAGTCGCACCGATAGTCTTGAGGCACGTCTTCGAGCTCTAAAAGCCAAGTGATGTCCCGCTGAAGCCTCCGGTCAAAGACGGTTGCAATCACTTTGAAGTAATGGCACTCCCGGTCCTCCTTATAGGGCGGCCCTAAGATGTCGAGTATGGCCGCCGGACCGTCGATGGCCACCACTTCGTGATAATTGCGTTGATTGGGTGTTAAGACACAGACATCTCGAGACTTGCTATCAATGGTTGTGCAGCCGTTATATACAGTGGGCACTGGAAATAGGACTCACATTACTGTACAACTCATCCATAATCACCACAATTGGTGTGTCACTCATACCCAAGAAGTCTCTCTGCCAGCCCTCCACCCGTTTGGACACTTCGTTGGGAAGTATGTACTGCCCATCGATGGGAAGCGCCGTATAGTTGGAGACTCCGACGGATCCGAACATCACTTTAATGAGTCCATACATTCCCGGGTGATTGTGAAGAGGTATACGACAGCGACTGCTCCGGAGGCCGAAGACACACATCTGGAAGTGTTGTGTCTCACAAATGGACACATAAGTGACGGAACATCTGCGCGACCGAAGACGACTCAATATCGAGTCACTCATGAGTTCTTTGTTTAGATTAATGTCTTTGTATGTCATTTGAGACAATTGTCTCTTCAGGCGATTCAATGACTCGTTGAACACCTCTTCGGACATGATGGCCACCACTTCGTGATAATTGCGTTGATTGGGTGTTAAGACACAGACATCTCGAGACTTGCTATCAATGGTTGTGCAGCCGTTATATACAGTGGGCACTGGAAATAGGACTCACATTACTGTAAAACACATCCATAATCACCACAATTGGTGTCATTCATACCCAAGAAGTCTCTCTGCCAGCCCTCCACCCGTTTGGACACTTCGTTGGGAAGTATGTACTGCCCGTCGATGGGAAGCGCCGTATAGTTGGAGACTGAGACGGATCCGAACATCACTTTAATGAGTCCATACATTCCCGGGTGATTGTGAAGAGGTATACGACAGCGACTGCTGCGGAGGCCGAAGACACACATCTGGAAGTGTTGTGTCTCACAAATGGACACATAAGTCACGGAACATCTTGCGCTGGCTTCTGCTGAGTTATAGCTCAGTGAGTACTCAAGAAACAAATCTAATTACAGAAACATACAGTAAACTCTGTTAACAGAGAAGTCCGCTAAGTTACTGAGCAACTTGTGGAGAAGCCTGTGATGTCTGTTCACACCGAAAGTCATTTGAGCCAAACGTACGACCGATTGGGCCATCGATTGAACCATTTCTGTGGCAGACATACAGACCATAAGACATGCAATCAATTGATTCAATGATCACTTTGTGGTCATATTTGTTGTCATATTGTTGTTCACCACAAGAGGTACTCCTTTCGCCACAAGAGGTCTACACTTACTATGCGTTCAATACATCAATACTTTTGTCGCATATTCTGTGCCATTGTCTCACAAATCGGTTTATTTTATCACTTTTTATATTAAACTTCATTTCAATTTAGCTCTCGTTTCAAACAAAACACATTTCACTCATTCAAATGCATTCAAACCATTCAACAATCATTTATATTACCATTTGTTTCGATGTTTTTATGCAAATAAATAAATATAAAGACATAAAGGATTAGATTCTGCATTCAATTCTGTATTCTTTGTTATACTTTATAAATATTTAATTTTCTTTTTTATATAAGTATTTCATATAAAAATATATCATTATATCCAACATTTTAAAGCAATTATTCATTTATCAAACAAATAAAATGCAAATATACCCTAGCTATTAATAAATCTTAGATTTTAAACATTTTATAATTATATAGTGTTTATCTCATTAGTATTAGTGAATCGGAAAATTGGTTTCATAAGAATATTCTTTCATACAAATAGTATTAAATCCAATGAATAGGTTGTATGTGTTTGTATGGCATGAATATGTAATATATTTGATGACAGATATGGTGTAAGTATTGCGCAAACGGGTGGAGAAGTGCTGCCAATTGTGTCCAAAGAGTCAGAGAAAGCGATCGATATTTGTTTCCATAGAATCGGATCCATTGAACAAATCATGTCTTGTTATCGTCATTATTATTATTATTATATTTATATTTATATTGAAATCAAATGCAAAATATATGTTTAGAAGTCTCGAAAAGCCTTTTAATCGGATTCTCTATACTAACGGCACTAATGACCAGAATATCGACCGATAGTTTGGATCGGAATCCGAATCGAACCAAATATCTGAACATTGGTTGTGATCACAGCCGAGTGGGGGGCGGGGGGTGTCACGTGCGGGAGTCCTACTGTAGTTTCCACGTGTGTGTCTGTAAACCCGACTTTCCCATCAACATCGATGACATCATGTGTGTCGACAGGTACAAGAAGGTGGGAGAGATCTGCTCCATAGACCCCGAGTGCGAAACCAACTCGTATTGCGTGAAGGCGTTAGACAATTACAAACTCAAGCGCTGTGTCTGTCGACAGGGCTTCTCCTTCTCGGCCAAAAGCAATGCCTGTATTAAAGGACATATGGGTTCCCTGTGCTCTATCAACGCCAACTGCACCGGTGTCCACAACATTTGCCTCCAGTCCAAGTGTCAGTGCGACTACGGCTACGACTGGTACCAAACCGATGAGAAGTGCTATAAGAAGTCGAGACACGGAGAGGGATGCGAGTCGACCGCCAATTGTCGCGCTTATGACCGGTTGAGTGAATGCGATAAAGTCCGCAAAATATGCATTTGTCGACAATCATTGGCTCAGGTGAACGCCATCGACGTGTTGACCCAAATGTGTATCATATGTCCACTCAAGAGATTCAATAACGTGACCAAAGTCTGCATTCCAGAGACCCTTGAAATTGAGTACAAGTCAAGTGACAGATCAGTGGTCAACAGAAACTCTTTGCAATACGTTTACATAATACTCAGTGTCTCGCCATTCGTTGTGTTCGCGATCATTGGCTTCTTATATAAGTTCATTAGTCCTCGAAGTCATCGATCCATTCACAACATCCTTAACAATGACCGCCAGAATCAGACCAGAAGTGTCCGAAGTGTCTACACCGACGACTCCATTGAGTGCGAGATTCCCAACAATACTCGCATTGATAGCAATACTTCCAGTGTGATGGCCAACCACTCCAACAACACCAACCTATCCATAGTGTGCCCTCCCGTCTCTCCAGTCCTCTTAACTTTGATACCACCGCGCGATCCCCCGCCGTCTTACGAGGCCTCACAACTGATGCCCCCGTCTTATGAGGAGGCCATCGCTACTCCTTATCCATGATATCTAAGCATTATATCAAACGTGACTTAACTTATATTACTATTAAACTATTAAATATACAATTACTTCATAGTAACCTCTCTTTATTTCCATTTTTAGTATTAATCTTAATGGTTAGACCAATTTTTAATGTTTTCCAATTTATTGAGTATTTAAATTAAGTTATAAATGTATAAAAAATTAATATTTGTTTTAATTGTTATATTTATGTGAAATAACGCCTATAAAATGAAATAACTTATAATATACAATAATATACAAAACAAAATGTTAAGATGTTTTAACAAAATTTATGTTATTAGTTGAAAGTATAGCATAGCAATTTATGTATACAGTATATCTTAGAATAATTTATTGGAAAATAAATTATTATACAATGTTTACAAAAAAATGTTATAATTTTGATTGTTTATGGAACGACGTTATATTTTATTTAAATAATTTGTGAAATAAAAATTTTAATATAATTCTCTTGACTTTTATTGATTGACATCCGTATACTAAATTTGTATGTCTCAGTTTATTTTTTAGTTGCGTGACTTTGTGTCATAAGTAAAATATTTTAATTAAATCAATTTTTATTAATCATGAAGATATCAACTGGTAATATAGTAAAGCATTAAAAATAACTATTGTTTTAAATATAATAATTTATTTTTATGTATATATATTTCATAAAAACGTTAACAATTAAAATAGATAATTTATTTTACGAATCAATGTTGAATAATGATGTACTAAAAAATTAATCAAATGAAAATATACAAAAAAAACCTTTTAATGGAATTATAAATTTTAGTAATTTATAAAACAATTAAATGTATGCTACTTAATTAACAAAATATGACTGCATTGTAAATATAACAGTATCATATTTAGTTAGATTATTATTAAAATAGAGTCTATACAATAGACGTTACATTTTTAATATTCAAACATTGAAAGTCTATAAAAATATAAATCAATAGAAATGATAAACGTTTACAACAAAAACTACTCTACATAACAAATATGTATTTTTAAAAACATAAATATTCAATTAACATATGTATTTTATTCCCTAAAATCATTTTGAACACAATTTTTTAGACATCTCAAAGATTTCTTTAGTGTTTTTCTTATTTTTATCACAAAGAATACCCGGATAAATTAATATCAAATTCTGAAAAAGACTCAAATTTTAATATTCGGTTCATTGATTGATTTATTACTAAGGTTTGCAAGGATTTGATTTTAATGATCTTGACAATTTTTTTAATTCTACAATTATTGAAAATTATCTAAAATTCTATTAAATACTAAATGTTTTATTAATAACAGAATAATTTATAGGCAAACATTATTTCATAAGTAATATATGGAAATATTATTTATTCTATTGATATTTAATTTATATCCCAATCAATTTGCAAATCCGATCGCCGTTATAATATTATTTGTATCAATTTGTATCCATATATTTTTATTCCCACAAAATATAATTTAATACTAAGATATTATATAAAAATGTATCGTTATTATATACTAGACTAAGCTATTTCTTTTAACATTAATTTTATATACCGGTATATAAACCCAAAATTTTGATTTTATAACATTACACAACAAAGTTTATATAAATGTAAATCTTTGGTAGCATTCATGTAAAACAAGATTTGATCACATCATATGAAAAACATAAAAATTCAATTTCTTAAGAGTAAGAAAACTTATCGATTCATTGAATGATTTACAGCAGAGCTAAACATTTGTTTACATGAAAAGGAAGTAATGCTTAAGTTTATTACATTTGTTAGTACTATAATTGAGATCTTTATTTAGTTTATATGTCATTAAGAATTGTTTATATATTAAGTATTCTATAATATTCTCATATATTTATAATATTAGTTTATAAATACACTTTATGTCATTTTGGTGACAAATATCTTCTTTTAAAGAATATTCTCGAGGACTGAAACCATTATAATAGTCAATTTTAGAAACTCAATTAATTTACATATTTTATTGTTAATTATTATCTTATTTGAACTCAACTTTGGATTTGAAGTATAATTGCTTTTGAATTAAGTTTTTAAATGACATTTAAGCTTACCATTATTATCAAAAAAACCTATAATTCCTTCCTATTATTGTTCACTAAAAAAGATGTGATGTGTTTGAAAGCAATGATGTCTTATGACAGCTGGTGAATATTATAAAAAGATGTCTAACCTCTAATTGAGTTTGTTACTCATGCAAAAGCTGTCTAATAACAAACGAAAATAGGAGAAAATATTGTTCTAAGAGTTATTTGTAGACAATAATACAACAAATAATTTATTAGAACTGTTTGGCACTTAGAGTCTGGATTAATATTTGTTTCCCACAAATAATCCCTCCAATGTATTACATTTTAATTAGAATTAAATGTGTATTGACTAAATAAAATTAATAATTTTTCCATTATAGATTAAGAGTATTTTTTGTGCAAGTATAGAATTAAATACTGAGAATATTTATTTGATTAATTTTAAATTAATAATCATAATTATGATTTTAAAGAAATAAATTATTCAAAATATTGAAATATAGTTTAAATATTATGTTTATTAATCATAAGTTAATTTAACATAATTAAATACATTAATAGAAATTATTTGAATCTATTAATTTACTCAATGAATATAAGGTAAGCATTTGTTCAAAATTTATTCAAAGTAAACAAATATCACTGTTTTATATATATAACTTTTTAAATATTCACAAATTAATAATGCAATAAATTTAAAACATAATAAGTTTCTTAAATAAGGTATTTTACAAAAACAATATTACATATAACCTAATAATAAATTGATTTAACACATTATTATTCATTTTGTTGTACAATATTAATATATTTATATAATGAAAAAAGTAATAACATATTCACAAATGGGTTCATTCAGTACAGTAATAAAACTCATATATAAAAGCTTGTCTGAATTGTACAG